ATCCTTGAAAACTGATTTGTGGATCATGAGATCTGCGCAACATGATCGACAAAACCTGGCACAGATTTTTTGTTTGCTAATTAAATATTGCAGAATATTATCTTAATAATATAATTAATATATTCACATTTCTAAGTATTATACTGTATATTACCAAATAGAAACAATTTTCAAATGAGTAGTTTCACAAAAATTTAAAAATGATATTTTGCTAATAACTTTTTATATTAACTCAAATAATACACCTATCAAACTGAATCAGACCAAACTTTTGTTAAGTTTGAGTCTGGTTTGATTTTCAAACCAGACTTAAACTTTGATATTTCAAACTTTTAATCAAGTTTGAGTTTGGTTCGGGTTTGATCCGAAGTTTGCAAACTAGTTAATCACATATACCGATCAGTGTTCTTGATACAACATATCAATACCTGGTATTGATAGGTTATATTACCAAAAGGATTAGAACACTGATTGTATAAATAACTTACTTCCAATTCGAGTCATGATCGAAAACAAAGGTAAAAAACGACATTGTTAAAATATACTGTAGATCATTAAATATTACACATGGTTCCACCGACAACTTAATTCACCGACAATTAATTTACCAGACTCACGTTCAGCCTGATCGGTGACGTAAATGATACGTAATCAAATTTACTTACGTACGTCTCCGATCACACGTGTGCGTGAAGATAAATAGGTATATATAGTTCAAATATGTAAAATCAATAAAACTTTATCTAGATTAATTAATATTAACGTTAAACGTTGATTAGCAATTCTCGGATAATTACTGTCTAAAGAGTAGAACTGTTCCAATCCACAATCAAGTGTCAATTTCATGTGAAGATACTTTATACTGCGGATTATGCATTATATTGTGATTGTGCTATTGTGATCGGATTTATTCGTATAAATATAAAAAAGGAACCTTTTAATTTGTTTCGGTTAATATCTCTTTACCACGGTTACGTTCATTTTATATCATACTATTTGTTTCAAGCAATGACTTTAGAATATTATGAACCATCTGCACACTGGTAATATTTACGTTTTTGAAATTTTATCAAATCATCAAGTTATTTCATTCTGATCAATTTTATTTTTCTAGGTTTCATGCAGTTGATGTACCTCTCATTGATCTAAGCAAGTCTTCATCAGCCAATACTACTCAAAAGGATTCAACATTTTATCAACAAATCCCTAAAGTAAAACAACCTACAAATTGGATCCCATTTTCTAGGCGCGACTCAAATGCATTAGAACAAGCATATCGTTCAGGAATTCCTGGAACTAAAGTTCCATGCAACGAAGATTATTTATTTGAAGTTGATGTTGATAAGCGTGAGATTCATTCTGTAAGAAGAAACATCTTTTCCTACAATAAAAAAAATTTTTTTCTGATCTTTAAGACTTTTACGATTCATTTATAGGTATATTGGTGTGGTCCTATTTATGAAGTCAGGCGTGGAACATGGTTTCAACAAATCGAACTTAATAAGTATATACCCTGCGATGAAAATTTAGCAATGCAAATTGAAGAAGGTTATAAGTAAGTGATATGTTATGTTATTATTAATAAATTCATGTGATGTTATGTTTATTCTTGTATTTTATTGAT